GGGGTTGGTACCAAGAATTGAACTCAGGACTTTGAGCTTGCCAGGCAGGCACTTGTGTCACTGAGCTATATCCCCAGCCCTGATTTTGGTTTTTGAGACAGAGTTTTCCTATGTAGTTCAGGCTGGCCTTGAACTCTCAGCAGTGCTCCTGCCTGAGGTTCCAGAGTGCTGGGACTATTGGTGTGTGCCACCATGCTTGCCTCTGGGGATGTTATTTTAGAAACAGTATTTGTTCTTTAGGTATACTCTTTGTTAGTGGGATGTCATTGCTTCTAGGTACTTCTGTGGGCAGGACATACTTCTTTTGTTTTGGTTTGTTTTTGAGACAGGGTGTTGCTGTCTACTTTTTTTTTTTTTTAAGTTCATACCAGTAACTCCACTTATAATACCATGGGTATATCTCTGCTTTTTGCTTTCATAGGAAGGTAATTTCTGCCGGGTGTGGTGGCACACACCTGTAATCCTAGCACTTAGGAGGTTGAGGCAGGAGGGTTGTTGTGAGTTTGAGACCAGTTTGGGCTACAAAGTGAGCTCAAGGCCAGCCTCAACTGCATAGGGAGACCCTGTCTCAAAAAGACAAAAAAAAAAGACAAAAAAAAGTAATTTCTTAGTGTTTCTGAGATGAAGTTAAAGGTCAGAAATTGAATGTTTAATAAAAGTACATGATTTTATATTGATGTCAAAGTCATTGAAAATCTTTCCTAATTTTTTTATATAAAGGAACCTAGTTCCAATTTATAAATGATTGCCTTGAAAATTACGTATTAAGAAACAAAGTGTGTTACGCCTAGTGACTCCAGCATGCCCTAATGCTGTAGTTCCTAGAGCGAGGTCCACCTCCAGTGACCGGCAGATACTTGTTACAGATGGGAATGCTTATTGCTATTGAGCATAGTCATTTTCTATTGCAGTGAGCTTATTTGTTTAATTTTGCTTATATGTTCAAAGCTATTTTCATCACATGCAGAGATACTCTTTTTTTCTCTCCTCTCTTCAAATTTGAGGTCTTTCAGGGATGAAGAGATGAAGAAGCCTTATTCTCCAAAGGCACTACTCACAAAGAAGTCTTCTGCCTTCTCTGGGAGAGTCCCCAGAACCACTCACCCAGTGAAATATGGCGCCTCACAAACTGGGACCCGACGAGGCCGGTTAAGAGAATTGTGCATCAGGTGAGCTTCTTGGCTAAAATAAGGAAATAGTTGTTATTTTCCTCTGTCAGTTAATCAGAGAACTTGATGCTTGCTCTTTATATTGGATTATCCAGATAAAAAGAATATTTGGGAATTTGGAGACATAAAAATTTATCACTGTTTCATTTGTGTTCTCTAGTTGTGCCCCTTGAAGTGTAAGCTATAAAGATTCTTCCAGAAAATGTCTAACATTGTCCAAGAAAAATGATCATCCATTTATTTGTACAGCAAAAATTTATCAGGTATCACTGTGCCAGCTATATGCTTAGCATATAAGGTATATCAGTGCCAGGTGTGGTGTCACATGCCTGTAATCCCAGAACTTGGGAGGCTGAGGCAGGAGGATCGTTGTGAGTTCGAGACCAGCCTAGGCTACAAAGTGAGCTCAAGGCCAGCCTGAACTGCATAGCGAGACCCTGTCTCAAAAAGACTTCCCCTGCCCCCACAAAGAAAAAGGGTATCAATCAGCCTTGTCCGTGACCTCACGAAAATTTAAAGTCAGGTAGGTTAATAGGCTATTAAGCGACAACACTAAAGTGTGGTAAGTGCTATGAGCAGAAAGACATGGTCCACTGGTGCACATGACAAGATTAGCCACACTGTGTACTCAGTAGCGATTTTTCCGGAAAAGTGGAGTTTAAGCTGATTCCTAAAGGGTTAGGTAAGAATGAGCCAGGTAAAGGACAAGAGGAAGATTATTACCATTTGAGCCCAAAGAGCAATTCAACAAATCCACTTCTGTGTTTGTGTGTGTGTGTGTGTGTGTGTGTGTGTGTACCCTAGGCATTGTGCTAAATACGGGGATCCTATTAGACATGGTCCCTGCACTGAGTGGTTCACAGTGTAGAGGGATTGACAGACACCCTGTGAGCCACTGACTGTGATTTGGTGTCGTAACATTACATAAGGGGTCTGAACAGAGTGCTGGGAGTACATACCTCCTCACTGCCTTTGGGTTGGGAAAGGTCTTGGAGAAGTGGCATTGGTCAGCAATTTTAGGCAGGAAGGATAATTGAACAAAACATTTGTCATGTACTTCCTTTTCCTCAAATCTTAGATCTTCTTTTCTTCAGTGAAAAAAAATACTTAATGTTGAAAATGTTTCTAAAAAACAATCAACTTGAAGCTGAGCACAGCAGCGCATACCTGTAATCCCAGCACTCAGGAGGTTGAGGCAGGAGGACTGGGAGTTTAAGGCCAGCTTGGGTTCCATAGCAACTTCAAGCCAAGTCGGCTGTACTACAAAGTGAGACCTTGTCTCAGACAATAACAAAGTAATCTATTTGATTTTAGCATTATAAATCTGTTCCCTCCTTTCCTTTTATTTGGTGCAAGATTAGCTATGTCACCTTTTGACTCATACTAGTGTCCCTTTCCTTGGGACTTTAAAAAGTTCCCTTGCCTTTCCAGAACAGTTGTGTAAGCCAAGTGGAGTTTAAGATGTGTATATCCTCTCTTTCCTTCTTTCAGATGCGTGGCCAGAAAATTCTTATATTTGTGGATTCGAATGACTTTCGGAAGAGTTTTTCCTTCTAAAGCCAGGTAGTATTAGCTCAGAATACCACATTTTTTCTGAGCTCATTCTGGGTTTCTGTTTTACATTCAGCATCTGCATACCCTCTATTATGGCTTGTGTTATTGCATTCCTCCCCTTGTCTTCCCAGCCTCCATCAGGCAGGAACAGGACTTAATATAGTCGCATAATAGAGTGGTAATTTCATGGCCATTAGTTGATTGGATGAGGGTATGAAAGAATCCTATGTAAGTAAACCAGGAGAGTTAAGACCTCTCTGGGGAAAGGAGGGCTCCCCAGAAGTAAGTGAGCTCATTCAGGGCATTGGTGAGACTGACTGACTCACTGACTTGATCTAGGGCAGGACCTAGGGAAAAAACCGGCACTGGCCAAAAGAGTGAAGTTTTAGTGAGGAGCATATCCCTGCCATATCCTGTACTGTGTGCTCATGTATGTGTACTGTCTGCATTTATGTTTTTCTTTGTACTATACTTTGTGTAGACCACCACCACTCACTGCTGCCTTTCCTGGTTACAGCTGCTTTGAGGTGCTTGGCAGAGGAGGGAGTCGAGGAGTGGGGAGCACTGAGCGGGAGGCAGTGGGGCCCATGCAGGGTCTGTTTCAGAGGGAGAAGGGGTGGCCATGGAGACACTGAAATGTCAGGGGAAGTTCTTCCCTTTCTCTTCACCATCTCCTCTTCTACACTTTTCCTTTTTTGTAATTCTCATTGGTGTCTGCTCTGTGAAAAAAATTTTGGTTTTGGTCCCAGGAATTGAACTCAGGACCTTGCGCTTGCCAGGCAGGTACTTGTGCCACTGAGCTATATCCCCGGTCCTATAAAAATTATTTTTGTGGTTCTAGATATTGAACCCACTGCCTCACACTTACTCAAGAACTCTACTGCTGACCTTTTTTCTAGTCCCCTAAATTCTTTACTTTGTATGCTTTTTGAGGTATACTGTTCCTTTACTCCCCAATTTTTTTTTTTTTTTTAAGTCCTGGGACTTGAACCCAGGGCTTCTACACTGTGCTGTACACAGACCATTTTTATTTTTCAAGATTGGATTGTTTTTGTTTTTTTATTCTTATTTTTTTGAGACAGGGTCTCGCTGTGCGGTTCAGGCTGGCCTTGAGCTCACTTTGTAGCCCAGGCTGGTCTCAAACTTGCAACGATCATCCTGCCTCAGCCTCCCTAGTGCTGGGATTATGGACGTGCGCTACCATGCCTGGCTTAAGACTGGGTTTTGCTAAGTTGTTAAGTTGTCCAAGCTGGGCTTGAACTAATGATCTTCCTGCCTCAGCCTTGCAGAGTGCTGGGATTACAAGCGTGTGCCACCCTGTCAGCTTCTTTATATCCTTCTTTGTGTGTCTGTAGTGACTTGTTACAGTGGCAGCAGTCCATTCCAGCTACAGGGGTTAGACATCCCTCCCTTCTCTGATTTGTCATCTCCGCCTGGGCCTTGGCCCTCTGCCGCAATGCCTTGCTAGCTCTCAGTCTTTCAGATAAAATTTTAGGGGCTGGGAGTGAGGCTCAGGGGTAGAGCACATGGTTACCATGTGTGAGACCTTAGATTCAACCCCCAACACTGAAGAAACAATTTTTTTTGGTCCTACTTTTATTTGCTGAGAGAGTTGATCCAGATTGCCTAGTTTGCCACGATTGAAAGTCTCTTGTTTTTTTGTTTTTTTTTGTATTTTTATTTTCATTCAGTTGAGCTGAGAAGTTATATAGTCAATCACTGCCCTAAAGAATGTAATATGTCGCTGTAACTACAAACATAACTATCATTATTATTATTTCATAGGAAAGATTCATACAACAGACCAACGTCCTATTAGAAAGTGAAAGGATAATTTTATGTACATTTTTAAATTTACAAAACATTATTTTCATTTTGTACAACGTTCATATAGATTTATTCACTCATTTACCCTTTCAGTTCTTTTTTTGTTCCTGCCTCTTCAGGTTTCTATCTATGGTGCTTTTTGTTTTATCATTGTAACATTTCTTAGTATTTCCTGTAGGGTAGGTCTGCTAGTGACTAATTCAGGTTCTGTCTGTATAAAAATGTTATTTTACCACTTTAATTTTTAAAGGATATTTTCACTATGCAGTGGACCATCCTTAGCACATTGGCTCTTTGTCCTAGTAGATGATACTCCATAGTACCAAGATGACCGTTCTAACCTCGCACGGAGTAGGGGAAAGTGGTGTTGTTACTTTGATGTGTCTCTTTATGAGGAAAGAAAACTTTCCTAGAAGCCCCTGAGTGCATTCTGCTTCTGCTGCATTGACTACAGCTTTATCACTGGCTGCCTTTGGCTACAGAGGAATTTGATCACTTTTTTTTTTTTTTCTTTTGGTACTGGGAATCCAACTCAGGGCCTCAAGCTTGCCAGGCAGGCGCCTCATGCTGAGCTATATCCCTGGCACTACAGAGGAATTTGAAAAAGAAATCTTCATTGCATTTTTCGAGACAGTTGCAATATTGTCAACCCTGTCCTTGAGTATGTTGTTCTTTTTAAATTTAAAAAAATTTTTTTTCCTCCAACATTTT